CGGTATTAGCCTAAATTGAGGTTAACTTAGAGAAATAAAAATAAAATATAAAATATAAAAATCTAACTAGATTGATTTCAACAGCACACCTGACCAACATTTCCAATTGAAATTCTCACAGGCTCCGTAGTCACTTCGCGAGCTAATATTTCAACCTTTTTTGGAAACGTTGCGCTGAAAAGTAATGCTATATATATGTTGTGAGTGCGAGTGTATGCCTAGTGTCTTGAGCGTGAAAGAAATTAACGCGATTAAGCCATACTTTGTCGGTCTGGCCGGATGCTGTCGCATATAGATCGCACTTGTGGTTCTGTTGAAGGAAAGATTTATAGTTAGGATAATTGTTTCTTAGAAAATAGTGGAAATTAAAGACCTACAGTGGTACGTACCGAAACCAAGGTCAAACATTCTATCAGCTTCATCAAGAACCAAGAAGCTAACTCTTCTAAAATTTGTCGCTTTCATTTTTACCATATCAATAATCCTCCCCTATATATTACAAGAAACAGGTATAAAGGTTATATTTACTTCGATAGAAATCTCTTTGACATAAATTATTTTAACGTACAGGAGTGCCCACTAGAATTTCAACATCACCAGACTTGAGTTCTTTAAATTGGTCCATTTTCGAAACACCTCCATAAACTGCTGCAACTCTGCAATAAGGTAAATCAAAGGATTGGGGAGCAGAGAGAGTAGTGTGTGCGTCGTTTTTGATTCCATTCTACCAAGCATGGAATTAAACTTATATTCTTTGATTTCTACCTCAGACCGTAACTCTTTGCAAATTTTTTGGCCTCTATATATATCTGACTGGCCAATTCCCTTGTGGGAGCTAGAATCAAGCCAATAGGTCCCTCTACAAAAGATAATATGATAAGGCTTATTTCTTTGCAACATAAATGTTTATGCATCATAATTATGGTAGATATCCCAACCTTTTTTTAACTCTTCCTGATCCATTATGTGAATCAACATAGGCCATATGAATGCGGCAGTCTTTCCAGAACCTTATAGACAAACCATTGGTAAATAATATCAAAAGAAAAGGCAATCGTATTTCTACTCGCATACCTGTTTTTGCAATGCCGATAATATCACGACCTGACAAGGCAACGGGAACCGCCTAAAATATTGCAAAATAAGTACACAAAAACTAAAGAAGAAATATATGTACTGTAATTTTAATAAAAGATTACTTGTTTTTGAATTCCTGTGGGTTCCGAATAACCATGTTTAATTATAGCATCTAGCAAGGGCTCGTCAAAACCAAAATGCCCGAATGAAATGCATGGTTTCGCGACATCAACACCTGACACATTC